TCTATTTTCTTCCAAGCCATTTTTACAACTTTGGTACCTGTGCCTAGTAAATTTTATGTACTTTGTGAATAAATAAAGGTTTTTGACAGGAACTATTTTTTTCAGGGCATAGGAGGCTACTTCCTGTGATGCACTCGAGGTGTTTATAAACAAAGTGAAAACACGTGGATTTGAGGGTAGCCCTGTTTGCAGATGGAAAAAGTCCGAAAATGCCGTGTGGGTACCCTGTTTTTTGGTGTCAGCTAATGTGACAGGTAATGTTTAACACCTCCTGCTAAATATTTTTTCATGTAAACAAATACCTGATTTTTAACGATTTTTTATGCTATATAGAATTATATAGTGAAAACAATTACCGGTGTGATACCTTGAAGTTGATTATGAAAAATCATTTAAATCCTTATTAAAGACATTTTTCATTTTTAAAAGGCATATTTCAACAGAATATGTGATTTTATTAACTTTTTGTTAGAAAACACACAATTTTAAAATTAGAATTAGAATTTACATTATTTTTCACAGATTTCTGTGTAAAAATTAACAATAGGTTACTGTTTACACTCAATACTTTAAAATATGAGTAAAAAGGTAGCATTATGCATCTAAAATGTAGAAATAAGTCAGAGAATGTTGTTTTTTCATTTTATATGACTGAACATTATTTGCACCAGCTGACCACAGTCAATTATAGTATCTACAGACTTTGCGGTAAAGGGTGTTAAAGCTGATTTTTCAAGAATAGACTAATTCTAGGTTTGCGAATGAATTTTCAGCACAAGCGACAACTGCGATAAAATGTAAACAAGTGAAATATGTTCTCACAGAATGATAATTTCTACAGACATATGATTTATTTTAATTTATTCACACCTCCATTGATACATATGTTACTGCATTGGAAGAATAGAAATAATGAAATGAGTCAGATCTGTCTAATAAACTTCATACATAAGCTACATAAGTAAAATTCATTAAGAATTTTTCACAGGAAGGAAGGTTATGACCAAAAAATCCTTAAATACTGTCAGAGTCTGCATGATAATACTTATTCTGAGTTCTAATCATGCATCATACATGTAGTGCAGAATGTCACTTAGCAACATGGCATGCCTCTTGTGGTTCTCAGGACTTTATTCATGCTTTCGCAGCTGACATTCATGTTTTTTCAGTTTGTCGGAGACTGTTTTTTATCATTTTTTCATTTATATGTAGGTGTTGACTGTCACTTTTGATTTAATTCTCAGTCAGTGATGCTTATATGAGCATGATCTATTAAGGATATCATTGTACTGAAATATTAATAAATTGCAAATTTAACTGATGAAGAAATTTGGCATATTTACATAATTAAAATATCAGAATAACTATAATTCAGCTAATAAGGTGCACCTTTCTTCTCAGATCACCTCCTATAAATTTTACCAGCAGTTTTTGTACACCCACCCCCCTCAAAGAATCATGGAGGATGTCCTGAAACTGGTCTCTGTGATGCATTTTGTCACATATAAAAGTGTTCAAACCCATAAAAATGTTTAATATTTATATTTTAAAATTTGAATTTTTATTTTTTATGTAAATTTGGTGAAACAAAAAGAGGTAATCTTGCATAAATCATGGAAATTCATTAAACACCTTTGGAATTCCTGAGTAAATCCATGAAAAGAGAATAATTATGCATGTTAAATTGAAATTTCATGGCTACTTTGTGTCTTAAGAGAAAGCCAGTTACATAAATCACAACAATAAATTACATCTGAATTGTTGTCTCCATTTTCTTATCATCAAAGCCAGTTTATTGGAGTGTGGGAGCTGTCAAGAACCTCCCTAGATGCTGATATCATTTAGACTGTCCTGAGTTACAACACAGCATTTAGATAAACTTCTGCACAGCAGCTTGAAGACAAATACCTAGGCTTTATTTGGAACATAAATTGACCAGATACAGATTTCATTATCAACCCAGTATTTAACAATTTCTGTATTTTTGTTCATTCTGTGAAGGGGAAAATGCAACTTTGTTATGTAATAATTACATAATGGTCTTAGACTTGTAACCTCTTTTTTGTTTGTTGTGAAGAACAAAGCATATACTCTCCACAGATAAAAAATTGGTTGCCAAGCTTATCCTTTTAATGATGAAATTCTGCTTCAAAAGATGCACAAAAAACTGCTTCCAGAGTGCTCTGTGTGTTATTCTTGACTGCTCTGGAGTAAGGGAGATAAATGCTTCATATCTTCAGAAATAAGGGGATTTAGATCACCAGACTTGAGGATGTTGGGGACAATTATTTAATAAATCTCAGGTGCAAAAATGAAAAAATCGAACACTTTCAAAGGTCCTTCAAGGTATCACACCGGTAATTGACCAATCAAAATGAACTTAGTCAAATGTAGGTCCATACATATAAAATTATTTTTCTTTTCTTTTGAGGCGTTTTTCTATTTTCTTCCAAGCCATTTTTACAACTTTGGTACCTGTGCCTAGTAAATTTTATGTACTTTGTGAATAAATAAAGGTTTTTGACAGGAACTATTTTTTTCAGGGCATAGGAGGCTACTTCCTGTGATGCACTCGAGGTGTTTATAAACAAAGTGAAAACACGTGGATTTGAGGGTAGCCCTGTTTGCAGATGGAAAAAGTCCGAAAATGCCGTGTGGGTACCCTGTTTTTTGGTGTCAGCTAATGTGACAGGTAATGTTTAACACCTCCTGCTAAATATTTTTTCATGTAAACAAATACCTGATTTTTAACGATTTTTTATGCTATATAGAATTATATAGGGAAAACAATTACCGGTGTGATACCTCTATTCACATGTTATACAATTTTGATCAAACAGGATACTGGTATTGCACAATAAAAGTCAAACCTATGCATGTATTTGATTTTTTCCGGAATTTCGCCTCCCTTTTGAACTTTGGGGAGATATTTCTAATATAGCGCATTCCTCGCTGATAGATTTTTAAAGTTTAAATAAATAATGAAATTCCCCAAAACAAATTTCCGACAAAAAAGTTATCAGCGACGTATGCGCTGTTATCGAAATTAAACCGTTTGACATTTAGCGGGAAGAAGAGAAATTGTCGTCTGTTCCGTTTATGAACAGAGTAAAATACACGGTTGATGTCTGTGCCTGCTATAGATGTTTCCTGAGCTTTAAATCATAAGACAAGACTGTAAGTATATGAAAAACATAAAGTTTAGTACAATTTACCCATTGAACAGCTGTTGCATACTCTGATTTAAAGATTTTTACAGCAATATTTTAACAACAATCGGAGCTAGCTCAGTATATCTACCTATCGTCAGCTATAGGCCTAAGCTATATTTCCTATTGGCTGGAGGGCATATAAGAACTGTATACACGATTTCAATTAATTCTACACAATTTATATAGTTCCTTGGCTTCCAAATTCAATACTTAGTTATTTTTACTTTACTGATGTTCTTGTTTACATTGAGAATCGGAGTTTGTTTACAGAGGCCGCGAAACGGTGCCAAAAAATGAATATATTATATCTTTATGTGTATAACTGTGCAGTAATTGCAAACATAACAAGAAAATCAAAATGGACCAAAAAAAAGGCATTTTGTTGTTTAATTATATAGTTTTAACTATGTTGTTTAGGAGATGAAGTCAGAAAATGTATGTAATTGTAAATTGTTGACTTTAGCTCTTTTTTTATTTTTTTGCAAGGGAAGTCACTCCTAATGATTAAAGATTTTTTTTTCTAAAAAAATAAAATAATATGATTTGAGTGAATTGCTGATATATATTATATGTCACTTTCAAAACTTAAAGATTATATCTCTAAGAAGTAATCTGAAAAGTCCACCCCTTTTTTACACATTTAGAATACATACATAATGTCTTAATATTGAAAAATTATTGGAATTTTTTAAAAAGGTATTTTAAAAAAATCTCAAGAACCACTGGTTCAGAAATGATGAAACTCAGGTGAAAGCATCCTCAGGTAGTGTAGATTCAAGTTTGTTCAAATCATGACCCTTGGGGGTAAGGGTGGGGCTGCAATGGACAGTCTAATTAGTTTACATATATTAGAATATAAAGGGAAAATCTTTAAAATTCTTTTTCTCAAATAGCAAATAGTCATATTTATCTGAAAGCATCCTCAGGTGGTGTAGATTCAATTTTCTTTTTCAAATAATGACCCCTGGGGGTGGGATGGGGCATCAATGGAAGGTCAAAGTTTTACATTGTATAGGAAAAATCTTCAAGTCATCTTCTTATGAACAGCAAAGCCATGAGTGATCATAATTAATATAGAAGCATCCCCTGGTAGTTTAGGTTTGAGTTTGTTCAAATCATGACCCCTGGGTGTAGGGTGGGGCTACAATGGTAGATCAAAGTTTTACATAAGAATTAATATATAGAAAAAAATCTTTATTTTTTTTTAAGAGCAGCAAAGCCATGACTAGTCATATAACATGTAATATAGAAGCATCTGCAGGTGGTGTAAATTCAAGTTCGTTCAAATCATGACCCTGGGTGATAGGGTGGGCCAACAATTATAGGTTTAAGTTTTAAATAAGAATATACAGGAAACATCTTCTCAAGAACAGAAAAGCTATGACTGGTCTTTTTTTTAACGATTGGAAGCATCCTCATGTGGTCTAAATTCAAGTTTGTTCAAATCATGGCCATGAGGGCTTTTAACATTTAACAGCAACAACAAAAATGTCTTCTTGTGGAAACGGTGAAAGAATATATGTGAGGAACATACAGTTAGTTAATATTTTGATGTGATCGACATTTTCAAAACATGGAGGAATAAATTGAGAAACAGCACACTTTTTTGTGTGCAATAAATATACAGTTTTTATAATAATACCCTGATCTAAATTACTTAAACATTACTATGGATGATAATTAATTATAAATTAAAAGAAAATTAATTAGAAAGAATTACGGTGTTATTCAACATTTGATAATATATTATACTGTTATTTTCATTCTTATTTTAGATCAACAATTAATTTGCATTACATTTCCCTGCAGGTGAAACTCTTCATGACTATAGTGTGAAATTCCTTTGTGATGGTTGTCTGGAATTGAACCCCTTAATGAAGACTGAATTTAGTTGAGAGGTATGCCCCCACCCACATCATTTTAAAGCATTTATAATAATTCATTGATTTTTTTTTACAATCAAATTGAAAATTAGATGTTAGATCTGCTCGCATCTTTGCTACACTAATGACATCCCATTGAGGGTCATGTCAGAGGTCAAATTCTATCAACCAATCAAATCTTTGCCTTCAAAATCATCCTATATTGTTGAAATGAATAAGTCTAGAGCTGTTCTGAATTCGACCTTTGACATGACCCTCAATGGGATGTTGTTAGAATTTAGTGTAATGAGTATGCGAGCGGATCTAACATTGAATTAAAAAAATGATTTTGGAATTACATACAAAGTATATATAATTTACATATACTAGGACCCTATAATCTTAATTACTTAAACATTACTATTGTTAATAATTTCAACTGACAACATTTGATAATATATTATACTGTTATTTTCATACTTATTTTTGATCAACAATTAATTTGCATTATATTTCCCTGCAGGTGAAACTCTTCAAGACTATAGTGTGAGATTCCTTTGTGATGGTTGTTTGGAATTGAACAAGACATTTTAAACAGACCACCCTTAATGAAGACTGAATTTAGTTGAGAGGTATCCCCCCCTTGTTTTAAGGCATTTATAATAATACATTGATTTCTTTTACAATCCAATTAAAAATTAGATCTTAGATCTGCTCGCATCTTTGCTACACTAATGACATTCCATTGAGGGTCATGTCAATGGTCAAATTCTATCAACCAATCAAATCTTTGCCTTCAAAATCATCCTATATTGTTGAAGTGAATAAGTCTAGAGCTGTTCTGAATTCGACCTTTGACATGACCCTCAATGGGATGTTGTTAGAATTTAGTGTAATGAGTATGCGAGCGGATCTAACATTGAATTAAAAAAATGATTTTGGAATTACATACAAAGTATATATAATTTACATATACTAGGACCCTATAATCTTAATTACTTAAACATTACTATTGTTAATAATTAAAAGAAAATTTAGGAAGAATTACATCGTTATTCAACATTTGATAATATATGAGGGAAATAAAAATTAATTTCATGGTTCTCAGGCCCTCCCTCATCTCTTCGAAGGGCACGTAATTGACCCTTTTAATTGCTAAATCAATAAAATAAAAACAACAAATCACCTCCCTCATCATTTTTTGAGGTTTTGTACAATGTAAAAAGCTGCCTCATCATGTTTTGGGGGCAATAAAAAGTAAAAAAAAAAAAAAATGCCTCCCTCCCTCAACATATTTCTTGAAAAAAGGCCTGAGAACCGACAAAATAATTTTGCATGGCCTTATACTGTTATTTTTGTACTGATTTTAGATCAACAATTAATTTGCATTACATTTCCCTGCAGGTGAAATTCTTCATGACTATAGTTTGAGATTCCTTTGTGATGGTTCTTCGGAATTGAACTAGACATTTAAACAGACTACCCTTTATGATGACTGAATTTAGTTGAAAGGTAAGCCCCCCCCCCTCCCCTTTGTTTTTAGGCTTTTATATATAAATAACATGGTTACTGTCTTAAAATATTTAGTAAGCGATATTATGGTGAAGGTAAGAAAATGTAATAAAGGGAGTGGCTTGATGAGCCCTTTCTTGTTTTTGACCCAGTGGTTCTTGAGAAGATTTTTGACCCAAGCCTATATATAGCTTATATTTCAAGAGAGTTATTTTTTTTTATCCTGCAATAAAATATTTACATTTGAATGTCCAAGACAAGCTATTTTCAACAAAATTAGGCACATCTCTGCAGTTGAAACTATGACGCCATGGAGTAAACACTGCTGAATATACATGACATTACAATGCTTTTAGGCATTATTAGGGCATTGTTTGAACAAAGTTTTAGTTTATTAGGTTACCTTTATTAGGTCAATGCAAGTTGCAGGATAAAATGCATTGATTTTTATGCCCCTGTAATTGAAGATTTGGGGGTATAATTAGTTTTTGCTTCGTCCATACACCTGTCTGTGGGTGGAAACTAAGGAATAAAATATCACATGAATTTAAAATTGGAAAGAAATTGCGTTTTACATGTTAATCAATTTATTACACACTGAAGAACATACGAAATTTCAAACATGATGCCAAAAAAATATCCCTCATAATTTTTAAAAATCTTTTTTATTGATTCATAGATGCCTGGCAAAAAGACTTACAAGTGCTTCATCTGTCCTCGGAGAACAAAACAGACAGACAGATATGCTATTTCGAAGAGTCACAGATCAGTGGTTACCAGATTATCGGGAAGAACACCAAGCGAGGAAGATTTTCTGTGCAACAAGTGCCGCCATATATGTAAGTCTCATGTGAAGGGAACTAGGAAAGGAAAAAACAAACTTCAGAGTTCTAGTGTCTATAATAATCTGACATCTACATCTCAGCCATCATCTTCAACGCCTGCTAGTCCTCCTTCTGTACAGCTGCCATTTCCCAGCACATCGAGAGGCCACTCTTCTTGCTGTATTTGTAAGAGACCTGGACCAAAACTCATTGTTGTTCCGGTGAACATTAGGCATCAGATATTCATTTCTAAGGAAATCATTATCCCTGCTGGAGCTAGATGTTGTCCTAATCACTTACAGGGAAACATAGGGGATCTTCAACCCATTTCTGAAACAACAACTGTTAATAGAACAACAATAGCTCAACTGGTCAAGTTTCTAAGGTCAGAGATTCAGAGGCAAGAGAAAACTAGACTTAACTTAAATAATGATGAAAGTCTTAGTGATGCTGAATATGTGAACCTCATGGGGATTTCGAAGGACTCATTTAAAGACTTGTTACAATACATCGAAGGAAAAGTTCGGCTCACTCCAGCAAGATCTCTGAGGACAAGTTTAGCAATATTTTTAATGAAAATCAGAGGAGGAGAATCTAATCGAGTTTTGTCCACACTCTTCAATGTGTCTAAATCCTGTGTTAGAAGATGTATTAGTTCTGTACGATCAGCTCTTGGAGGAAGATTTGTGTCAGAGAATCTGGGTTTCCAGCACATCACACGTTCTGATGTCATACAGCATCACACAAGACAGATTGCCCAAACTCTTTTTGGAAGCAGTCCAGCTGGTAATCAGGTGATTTTGGTTTTGGATGGGACATATATCTATATAAACAAGAGTGGAAATTTTCATTTCCAACGACAGTCCTTCAGCTTACATAAGGGACGCCCTTTACTGAAGCCCATGATCATAGTGTCAACAACTGGCCACTTTATCTCAGTGATGGGTCCATATCTTGCCCGAAACAATGATGCCAGTATCATCAAACACATCATGAAGTCCAACATTGAGGACATTCGTAACTGGGTACAAGAGGACGATATTTTTATCGTTGATCGTGGATTCCGTGACTCGATGGATTATTTGGAGGAACTTGGTATCCAAGCCCATATGCCTTGTTTCATGTCCAAAGGAGAAAAGCAGATGTCCACAGAGAGTGCCAATACAAGTCGTCTTGTCACGAAGGTATGTGTATTGTCAGGGATAAAGAAAAAAGGTCAGGAAGGGATTGAGAGAAATAATATAAAATTAAATGAAAGTTCCCTTTGATGAATGTAGTACACTGTATGTTATTACTAGCAATTTTGGGTTTACAATAAACATGTTTATCTTTTTTTTTTAGATCCGTTGGGTTGTTGAATCTGCCAACTCAAGGATAAAGCAGTGGAAGTACCTAGGGCATGTTTTACCAACAAGCCAGATTCCATACATAGGAGATTTCATAAAGATTGTGTGTTCTATATGCAATAGGTAAGAAATATTTATGTTAATATTTTTATTGAATCATGATAATCTGTAATAAATATCAATGCATTATGTATTTCAATGTTAAATGTATGTATATTAACAGATATCTGAAACCCCTCTCCAGTGGAAATGCTGATGAAGAAGAAAGTCTTGGATTGAAGATGCTTCATCTCTCCAAGCAGGTCAATGTCCTACAACAGCAGGTGGAGGAGCAACACTTAGATCGGCGTTCTGGATGTTGGGAACCAGTTGAAGATCTAAGAGGTATTTATGGTATATGTACTATGTACTGTTATAGTATGCATTCTATTCTCCAGTTGTTATTGATACAATATATGAAATTTTGTATACTTAAAGAATGATAAAAATATACATTGTTACATTTATCTTAAATGAAAATTGTTTGGGATTTTCATCCCAATTATGTACAGGTTATATTTGCAGAGCCATGGTGTTTCGAATTTGTTTATTTGTTTATTAGGTTTTTTCCATATCTTGATGAAGAGCAACTGCGTAACCTGACTTGTGGAACTTATCAGCTTCGACTCTCACCCAATTATGCCCAGGAACACTTGGAAGGTGACTGTCACATACAAGTGCATAAACAGGAACCAGGTCTTGTTAGGGTTCGGTTACAGAGTCGGCATGTCGCATCAAGAACATATCAGTTATGGATCAAGTATGATGAAGGAAATATTATTGCATGGTACTGTAAATGCAGGGCTGGAGCAAGGGTAGTTGGAATGTGCTCCCACATTGCTGCCATTCTGTGGTATCTTGGAAATGCCCGACACAATATCCAGACTGGATTTGGTGTTCGAAACTGGGGAGACTTTGTTGAAGATGCAAACAGCATTCCAACACCAGTTGATGAAAGTGAATCTTCAGATGAAGGAGGTAGTGAAACAGAAGAATAAACTTCAGATAAATTGACAGCCATTTACAATGGGTTGCTAAATATGTAAATATTTTATTTCATTCAGTTTTCACATTTGATTACTCTGTGAGTGTTATGTCAGATTTGGCAATGTGTCACTCAATGTGTAAATCATAAGTTTCTTAGATTTAATTTTCTTGTTAAAGATTTACTGCATGACTGTTATGTAAAAAAAAAAAAAAGAAATTATGGGCTGCTCCATATGAAAAAATTTTTTAATTTCATATTTGTGTTTAATTTACTATGTGAGTGTTATATCGGATGCGGTAATTGGCCGCTCCATGTGTAAATATTTTTTTATTTTCATGTTTGATTTACTATGTGAGTGTTATGTCGGATGCGGTAATTGGCCGCTCCATATGAAAATATTTTTTTTTATTTTCATGTTTGATTTAATATGTGAGTGTTATGTCGGATGCGGTAATTGGCCGCTCCATATGTAAATATTTTTTTTTATTTTCATGTTTGATTTACTATGTGAGTGTTATGTCGGATGCGGTAATTGGCCGCTCCATATGTAAATATTTTTTTAATTTTCATGTTTGATTTACTATGTGAGTGTTATTTCGGATGCGGTAATTGGCCGCTCCATATGAAAATATTTTTTTTTATTTTCATGTTTGATTTACTATGTGAGTGTTATGTCGGATGCGGTAATTGGCCGCTCCATATGTTAATATTTTTTTTTTTATTTTCATGTTTGATTTACTATGTGAGTGTTATGTCGGATGCGGTAATTGGCCGCTCCATATGTAAATATTTTTTTATTTTCATGTTTGATTTACTATGTGAGTGTTATTTCGGATGCGGTAATTGGCCGCTCCATATGAAAATATTTTTTTTTATTTTCATGTTTGATTTACTATGTGAGTGTTATGTCGGATGCGGTAATTGGCCGCTCCATATGTAAATATTTTTTTTTATTTTCATGTTTGATTTACTATGTGAGTGTTATGTCGGATGCGGTAATTGGCCGCTCCATATGTAAATATTTTTTTTATTTTCATGTTTGATTTACTATGTGAGTGTTATTTCGGATGCGGTAATTGGCCGCTCCATATGAAAATATTTTTTTTTATTTTCATGTTTGATTAACTATGTGAGTGTTATTTCGGATGCGGTAATTGGCCGCTCCATATGAAAATATTTTTTTTTATTTTCATGTTTGATTTACTATGTGAGTGTTATGTCGGATGCGGTAATTGGCCGCTCCATATGTAAATATTTTTTTTTATTTTCATGTTTGATTTACTATGTGAGTGTTATGTTGGATGCGGTAATTGGCCGCTCCATATGAAAATATTTTTTTTTTATTTTCATGTTTGATTTACTATGTGAGTGTTATATCGGATGCGGTAATTGGCCGCTCCATATGAAAATATTTTTTTTTATTTTCATGTTTGATTTACTATGTGAGTGTTATGTCGGATGCGGTAATTGGCCGCTCCATGTGTAAATATTTTTTTTATTTTCATGTTTGATTTACTATGTGAGTGTTATGTCGGATGCGGTAATTGGCCGCTCCATATGTAAATATTTTTTTAATTTTCATGTTTGATTTACTATGTGAGTGTTATTTCGGATGCGGTAATTGGCCGCTCCATATGAAAATATTTTTTTTTATTTTCATGTTTGATTTACTATGTGAGTGTTATGTCGGATGCGGTAATTGGCCGCTCCATATGTAAATATTTTTTTTTATTTTCATGTTTGATTTACTATGTGAGTGTTATGTCGGATGCGGTAATTGGCCGCTCCATATGTAAATATTTTTTTATTTTCATGTTTGATTTACTATGTGAGTGTTATTTCGGATGCGGTAATTGGCCGCTCCATATGAAAATATTTTTTTTTATTTTCATGTTTGATTTACTATGTGAGTGTTATGTCGGATGCGGTAATTGGCCGCTCCATATGTAAATATTTTTTTTTATTTTCATGTTTGATTTACTATATGAGTGTTATGTCGGATGCGGTAATTGGCCGCTCCATATGTAAATATTTTTTTTATTTTCATGTTTGATTTACTATGTGAGTGTTATTTCGGATGCGGTAATTGGCCGCTCCATATGAAAATATTTTTTTTTATTTTCATGTTTGATTAACTATGTGAGTGTTATTTCGGATGCGGTAATTGGCCGCTCCATATGAAAATATTTTTTTTTATTTTCATGTTTGATTTACTATGTGAGTGTTATGTCGGATGCGGTAATTGGCCGCTCCATATGTAAATATTTTTTTATTTTCATGTTTGATTTACTATGTGAGTGTTATTTCGGATGCGGTAATTGGCCGCTCCATATGAAAATATTTTTTTTTATTTTCATGTTTGATTAACTATGTGAGTGTTATTTCGGATGCGGTAATTGGCCGCTCCATATGAAAATATTTTTTTTTATTTTCATGTTTGATTTACTATGTGAGTGTTTTGTCGGATGCGGTAATTGGCCGCTCCATATGTAAATATTTTTTTTTATTTTCATGTTTGATTTACTATGTGAGTGTTATGTCGGATGCGGTAATTGGCCGCTCCATGTGTAAATATTTTTTTTATTTTCATGTTTGATTTACTATGTGAGTGTTTTGTTGGGTGAGGTAATTGCTCCATAAGGAAGGATATGGAAATAACGAACAGTATTCAATCTCAACGTCCATTAAACAAATATACAAAATAAGAGCAGAGCAAACACGGACCTCTGAAACATCAGAGGTGAGATCAGGTCCCATGGAGGAGTGAGCATCCCCAGCCGACCGGTCACACCCGCCTTGTGCTCGTTGTCATAATCAGGAAATAACGGAAAAAATCCATAAGTAAATCCATAAGTAAATGATTTCTTTTGATTGTCATGTTTGATTTACTTTATGAGGTTTTTGTCGGGTGTGGTAATTGGCCGCTCTATATGTAAATAATTTTCCTTTTCACATTTGATTTACTATGTGAGTGTTATGTTGGATGTAGTAATTGGCTGCTCCATATGTAAAATAATTTCTTTTTTCACATTTGATTTACCATGTGAGTGTTTTGTAGGTTCGGTAATTGGCCGCTCCATATATACAATGTGAGTGTTATGTCGGGTATACGGTAATATGTAAATGTTTTGTTTCTTTTCTCATATTTGATTTACTGTGTTAGTGTTATGTTAGATACGGTATTGGTACAGTGGGCATCTTCACGTATAATTTTTTCCCATTAATTTAACATACACATTAGCCCCTCCAGATGTAGCCTATATTTATTTCAACTTTTATGTAAAATGTTTGCAATTGTATTTGGCAAATGTGGAAATAAATCACATCATAAAAAGAATTTTAATTCTGAGAAGAAGCAGCTGCTTCAATACTCTGAGTAAGTAAGATGTATGCAGTTTCAATACTCTGAGTAAGTAAGATGTATGCATGATAATAGGCCACTTATTGCACAGACAGTATAATACCAATATGTGTGTAACATTGTATCTCAAATTCTTAATATTGAATAAATATTTTTTTAATATATGTATATATATAGATTTGTTTTTGTTTTTATTTAAATGAGGTATTTTAAACCCTTTTTAAGAGAAAGCTAGAAAACAAACATCCCCCTAAACACACACAAACTCCAAGAGAGAGAGAGAGAGAGAGAGAGAGAGAAATTCTTTTTAGTTACATTGATCAAAAAATTTGGTTTTTTTTTACTTCAGCAAAACCTTCTGATATTCTTTTCTTTTAAAACACTGATATTGCAACCTCTTTCATTAATACCCCCTCTTAATGGAGTTGGAGCCGAGGGGATAAAGTAACACAAGTGTGTGTGGGTTTGTTTGTTTATGGGTGAGTGAGTTTTGTGCTGTGCGAAAAGGAGCGACGTAATTTGCATCAAAATTGACATAAAATTCTGCTTTGATTTATAGATGCACTCTTTGCGAGAGTGCTTTGTTTTCTTTTAAAACGGTGATATTGCAGACTTTCCTCATTTAAAAAAAAGATAAGAGAATTAAAGGAAAACAAATACAGAGAGAGAGAGTTCCTCATTATGCTAAGATATTACATGTATATCCATTACAAAGTGTCACACTATATAGAAACCTCAGTTTCTTTGCTAAAAGTGACTGGTTAATCATAATGATCCATGCAATGCATAACGCACTACCAACTGCTTACCATGCAGTTGTGTTAAAAGCTACAGATAGCATACAACAGAGGGTGACTGATAATCAAAGAGTGTATATTGTCTTAAAGCAAAGAGTGCAAATTACTGGATATCGAAAATGACAACATTGAACATTTACATGAATTATTGTGCAAACAAAGATGTCATTTATAAAAGCAAATACATGAGGTATTGAGGTTTATAGAATGTACTATTTGTAAAAGAATTTATTGAAATAAGACTTTAATCTCATTATTATAAAAAAACATTGAACTGATACATTCAACATATTAGTTCATGCTTTATGTCAGAGATGCATATAATTCTGCAACCATAAGTACTGAGTATATGTAAAATAA